TCATAACGCTGCATTCGCCAATCCGGAACAATACCGGATTTTCGAAACCCTACCAAAAGCTTGTTGATCTTGTTTTTTCAATGAACACCATACTTAGGTGGTATTAAAGTTAATAGGGTTAGGGACACGGACGAGCTATGTCGCTTACAATCTGAATATAATAACTAGCACAGTCTGAATTTTCAATGATTGATTTGGTACAACCTTAGATTAATAAAACCTATTAATCTAAGGGTACAACAGGGAGAACCCCGTAACAGGTGGTACCTAGCTGCCAGGTACCTATAAAATGTCAAGGATCGAACCAATTAATAGAAAAATACAATGAACAACGGCTTTATTAATCTAAGTAAACAACTGAATTTTCGAAAGGAACATGAAACGTATTGTTTAGTTTACTTACATAGTTTGAAGTCACCGATACGCCCTTCTCACGATTGCTCAGGATCAGACGTAAAATTAAGAAAAAACAACTTACCAGTCAGATAAAACAGGTTAAACCTATTAAAAAAAAATATAAATACTTAAGCAAAGCGCATAAATACGCGCCGCACGAGCCGTATTTTCGTTAAATATTTTTCGTAGAAGTACGATTCCACCCGCGCGCGCAAGTGACGTCACATCGATTAGTTTCGGACCAAAGATTATATAATACAAGGCAGAGATTAAGATGTAAGCGTAAAAAAATATTCTTGATCATGCATATGGTAATAATTATTTTGTGTCCAAGAAATAGCCAAGGCAATTTGTTAGAGAGTTGTAAATTATAGTTCAGGTACGTGTGAGGCGAGTTTAATTACACTATAGGTATAACCTGGTTCAAATAAATTAAATGAAACCATCAATCGAGCTAGTAGGATTTATTTTATTATTCATCAATAAATCAAATTCAAAACTTGAATATTCAACGGCAATGTCTGCTTATGAACGCTTCAAACTCGGTACTTCTTTCCCAATTCCATAAAATTCAACACTGAAAGTGACAAAAAAAAATAAAATAGGTAGTTGAAACAAACCACAGCTATAGTCTATCCCATAGAGAAAAGTAATACATAGGAAAATCCATTATATAGTTCCAAAATACTGAGCCCCGATTACGGTAATTTTTAACGTCAACAATCCAGACACGCTTCTCGATTAGCTGCGATACGATTGGTCAAAACAGCTGACGTACGCTGTTGAACGACCAATCGTATCGCAGAATCGAGAAGCGTGTCTGGATTGTTGACGTTAAAAGTTACCGTAATCGGGGCTCTGGACTGTCCTGTCGATGACATTGACAGTGGGGCGCCACCGTCAATACCGGATCGCTGGTTCAGATTTTTGCCATGTTGGAAACCATATAGTTGAACGATGGTAGCGCCCCCCTGTCATTGAGTTTGGCGGGACAGTTCAGCGTGGGTCATCTATAGCTTGATTAGAATGACAGCTGTCATCAAAAGTAACGACATAACTTTGTAGTATAGTTCCAAAATACTGGACTGTCCTGTCGATGACATTGACAGTGGGGCGCCACCGTCAATACCGGATCGCTGGTTCAGATTTTTGCCATGTTGGAAACCATATAGTTGAACGATGGTAGCGCCCCCCCTGTCATTGAGTTTGGCGGGACAGTTCAGCGTGGGTCATCTATAGCGTTCAANTAAATTTAAATCATAATTGTCATTTTTATGAATAAAGATATGAAGAAAAATTGGGTGCATTTTTTTATATCATTTTTTCGAAAACTTATCGATACATCTATGTCGGCCGTTTGGTGTAGTGGTTCAGAACGGACTACTATTCCGAGAGGTCCCGGGTTCGATTCCCGGCCGGGCAGAAATTGAAATGATGAATTTTAATTTCTGTGACGGGTCTGGGTGTGACTATGTATAATAAGTATGTATTTAAAAAAAAAGTATATAAGTAGTATATCCGTTAAGCTAGCATCCATAACACAAGCATTAAGTTGCTTACTTTGGGGCTAGCTGGCGCTGTGTGAAATTGTCCAAAGATTTTTTTTTTTTTTTAATGTGAACCGTATGAAACATACCCATCACTAGTCACATTCGTTTGACAGCCGTCATTCTAATCAAGCTATATTGGATAGACTATAATTTCATATAGATGACCCACGCTGAACTGTCCCGCCAAACTCAATGACAGGGGGGCGCTACCATCGTGCAACTTTATGGTTTCCAACATGGCAAAATCGTAACCAGCGATTCGGTATTGACGGTGGCGCCCCGCTGTCAATGTCATCGATAGGACAGTTCAGTATTTTGGAACTATAGTGGACTGTACTATACGATAAACATGTCAGTCAATTTGACAACCTTTGTCGGAAACATTATTCAATGAAAATATTGTCCGAACCCTTAGTATTTCTCTTCGACAAATACTTTNGGGACTAAATTACTAGTTAGGGAATGATGTTTTTTATATAGTGATAATAACAAAACAACTACATTATGTGTATTAACTTATCTATAAATGTTAAGGTTAAAAGTTTTATACTTTATTAGAAGTCATATAGGAGTAATGTAGTATGAAAAAACTGAAAATTATAATTTCTCCTAAAATAAAGCATAAAATGACTGGCCCTTTTAGACATAACATAATTAATTAATAAACAATAATTTACACTAATAAAGTATTCAAAAGCATCTTAAAAAAGTTACGGACAAAATGACGTCGAAAATATACAGATTTTTATGGAATGACCCTTACACTAGTTTACAAGGTTTTTTACCCAGAGATGAAACTGATATGTATCGTTAGAGTTATTAACCCTTACTTAAAAACTGAACTTAGAAAAAATTTAGGACGTCAAATTTTGTAAATATTGATTATGTTAATTTTTATCATTTTTATACATTTATTTCTAAAAACAACCAAAAATGAGTCGTATTACTCCTTCTTTTATATTAATTAGTATCAGTTTCCCTTATTATAGACCAACAGCAATCCGCTAACATATTTTTATCCCAAATTCCTTGGTATCTTTCCTCAAAAACCTTCAAATCCTGGTGAAAACTTTCGACATGCTCAACACTTACGCTTCCCAGGTTCTCAGGAAAAAAATCCAGGTGTCAATGTAAAAAATGAATTTTTAACGACTTATTCACACCCATTCTTTGGTAATTCCTCAATAATTTGGAAACAATTTTTGCATAATTCTCAGATAAATTTATAGTCTCCCAGGAAACTTTTCACTACTGCTTTAAATTAATATCAAGCATCTTTCCCTTACTGGAATTGCTGGGTAATAAGTAACTCCTTCAGATTGTAGCACAGGTCTTGTGACTGATGCAACATCAAGATATTGTATGTTCTTGGTTTTTGTTGTTAAAACCTGTAGTTTCAGTGAGGCAGAAGTAACCGACATTAGTGTGATTTGTTGGTTCTCTCCATAACCTCNTGTCGGAAACATTATTCAATGAAAATATTGTCCGAACCCTTAGTATTTCTCTTCGACAAATACTTTAACACATTGTGAACCACTTTTCTTTCACGACTGTAAAAATATTTTAGCAATTTAAATTCACGAAATCAATAATTGCGCACATTTAAAATAAAGTTTGTTTACACTTTGACAGCAATAGACTGACATGCAGTCACATGCAAGGTGACATGTCAATGAAGTTTTCAGTTACTGTTGCCATTATAGTTCCAAAATATAGATGACCCACGCTGAACTGACCAATTGAGTTTGGTGGGACAAACGAGCAGACGGATCACCTGATGGTAAGTGATTACCGTCGCCCATAGACACCCGCAGACCCAGGGCCGTTACAGGTGCGTTGCCGGCCTTTAAGGTAAAGATACGCTCTCCTCTTGAAAGCTTGCAGGTCGTATCCGTCCGGAAACACCGCAGACGACAGTCCATTCCACAGTTTGGTTGTACGGGGCAGGAAGTTTCTAGAGAAACGTACTGTTGTGGACTACCAACCATCTAAGTGATGGGGGTGGAAGTGCTGTCGGGTAGATCGGTGGCGAAAAGTGGCGGCAGGAATAAGTCCGGATAATTCTTCGGAGCAGTCCCCGTGATACATGCGATAGAAGATGCACAGTGAGGATACATCTCTACGCAGCGCCAAGGGGTCAAGCCGATCCGAAATGTCCTGGCAGTCAACGATTCGAGCTGCTCTCCGTTCAATGCGGTCTAGAGGGAGAAGCTGGTACTGGGGCGCACCTGCCCAAAGATGAGAACAGTATTCCATTATGAGGCCGAAGTTGCAAGTGGTTTATGATGGGGTATAAGAATAGAAGTAACGAAGTTGTTTTTTCACTTCCCACATTCATGCACTGTTTGTTATTATTATATTAAAATCTGATCCTCCTCGTCATCGCAAGCAAATTATTTATCTGTATTTTATTTTGAGTTTCATTTCGATTTTTGTCCATTCATTTAATCACCGTACATGAGACATGAACTATCTCACTTTATAAAATCAATGGACACATTTTTTAATCTGTGGCGCCGGACAGGGTACGGAAACTTCCATACTACGATCAAACTTGCTTCCAAACAGCGACTTCAGTCGATAAATTCCAATACTTTTTTTTTTCTTTATGGCTCTCGCGGATTGCGTTTAGCCACGACAGGGTTCTTGATTTTTGCGTTCAGTTTTGCCATAACTTTTGCGGACATTGCGTTTAGACAGGGTGGGATTGGGTTAAAGTTAAAAGGTAGGGAAACGAATCAANGCGTGGACTTTATGTATGTATGTGTGCGTGTACTATGTGTGTATGTGAGCGTTACGTACGTAGGTTAAGTATAGTTCCAAAATACTGGACTGTCCTGTCGATGACATTGACAGTGGGGCGCCACCGTCAATACCGGATCGCTGGTTCAGATTTTTGCCATGTTGGAAACCATATAGTTGAACGATGGTAGCGCCCCCCTGTCATTGAGTTTGGCGGGACAGTTCAGCGTGGGTCATCTATACAGCGAATTTAACACCAGGCTGTCAATTAGTAGGCTCAAAAATTTGACAGAGAGGGTTCTCTATTTCCTATGTATTACTTTTCTCTATGGCCGGACCACTGTGACGTGACGTGTAGTTGTTGAAAAATTGTAATTTTTGAGAAGAAAAAGAAATCTTTGTATTGATTAGGTAATTAATTTTGTAAGCGAAATGAGTCGTCGTGATAAGAAAGAAGATGAAGATGCCGTGGGAACTATTTTTCAAAATCTGGATAAGACTACGCTTATCCAAGAAGCGAGGTATTTTAATTCTACCCCTGTGAACCCTCGAAAATGTATACATATCCTCACAAAGATCATTTATTTGCTGTATCAGGGAGAGAAACTGGGTACGCAAGAAGCAACAGACGTGTTCTTTGCTACTACAAAGCTGTTTCAATCGAAAGATGTAGTTTTGCGTCGCCTGGTATACCTGTGTATCAAGGAGCTGAGCCCCATGGCTCAAGACGTCATCATTGTGACTTCTTCGCTAACGAAAGACATGACTGGGAAAGAAGATTTGTACCGAGCGGCTGCTATTAGAGCATTATGCTGCATCACAGATAGCACGATGCTTCAAGCTATTGAGCGTTACATGAAGCAGGCAATTGTTGATAAGAATCCGGCGGTCAGTTCAGCGGCTCTTGTTTCGGCGCTGCACTTGTCGGCGACTGTCCCAGACCTCGTCCGGCGTTGGGTGAATGAGGCTCAGGTAATATTCTAGCACAATATTTATTCTGAATATATAATTTAACTTCTTATTGAATAATAAGCTGTTTGCGAATATATCAATGGTTAATGGCTATGCCATGTAAGTGAATTAATTCTTGTTAGAGTTTCTGCGGAAGACCATTGATATGCACTTTTGAACATGGCATGATAAATGCTGAGCGGGGGCCCGTTGGCACAGAATACATGCCTTCTTTTTTTGTCATGTGCCAATAAATTATTTCTTTTTGTTTCTTCCCACCTTTCTTACTTTCTACTTCTTATGAATGTGCAACTTTGTTACGATGGATGTATCGTTAGTCTTTATCCAAAAAGTATTGAACAGATTTGAAAGGTATTTGACAATAATGTTGCGGAATAACATAATGATGTTTCATTACAAATCCACATTAGAAAAGCCACAGGCAAAAGCTACTTATATTGTAATGTTTGACCTAGTTACTGATGTGAATAAGTTATCAAATTCAAGTTAAAATTTTATCTTCTCTCTTATTGTATCATCATAATAGTGTTTTACTAGTTTGGAAAATTATATTGCGATACAATCAGAATCTTTAGTCTTTATATTATTGGTTTAATTAATCAAAGTAAATAATGCATGACTTTATGTAAAATAAACATCTAGTATGTAGCACAAGTGCGAACAGAAAATTATGATAAGCTATGAGCGAGTAACATATAATTTGAAGGTTGTGCTGTGCTAGAATTCTGTGGTTACTGTTTAACTACACGAGCTAAAATAAATAAAAACATTGTAAAATATGTTTTCTGCAATACAGGAAAATATGATAGTTAACTTCTAATATGCATATTATCTTCTTAAGCTCGTACACATTACAGTACATTTGAATCACTATAATATGTAGTTTTGGTTTTTCAACAAGCCTAATCAATTTATTGTAACGAATTAACATTATGAATGAGGTTTGTAATATCACCGCATCAATGATGTGATTATGATGCAAGATAGTAAATATTTGATAAGGAGTACCTATTTCTCTTATAGATTAATATCTTCATAATCTCATTTATGTTGTTGCAGGAAGCCATCATGTCCGAAAACGCGATGGTGTCGTACCACGCACTGGCGGTAGTAGCTGGAGCCCGGCGCAACGACCGCCTGTCAACTGTCAAGCTGGTCACCAAGTTTTCACGAACACCGCTTCGATCACCATATGCACTTACCCTTCTCATACGCTATGCTGCTAAGTTATCTGAAGAAGATGAAACTGATGCTGCTGATGGATATTTAGATTTCATAGAATCTTGTTTGCGACACAAATCAGAAATAGTCGTTTACGAAGCTGCTCATGCAATTGTAAATTCCAGTAAGTCTACCAAAGCAATTGCTCATGCCGTTTCTGTACTGCAAATATTTTGCGGCTCGTCTAAACCACACCTACGATTTGCTGGAGCTCGAACTCTAGCTAAACTAACAGCTAAACATCCAAATGCTGTCGCTGACTGCGCTCCTGACTTGGAGAACTTGATTTCAGACCCAAATAGATCTGTAGCTACTTTGGCCGTAACCACCCTGCTGGCCACTGGAACTGAAAGTTCCATCGATCGCTTGATGAAACAAATATCAGGCTTCATGTCTGAAATATCAGATGAATTCAAAATAGTTGTTGTTCAAGCAATTAGACGGTTGTGCTCTAAATATCCTCGCAAACATCAGTCTTTGGCCGCATTTTTGGCTGGTATGCTTCGTGACGAAGGTGGTGTACAATACAAGACGGCTATTGCTGATGCTATAATAGCGCTGGTTGAAGAAAACCCAGAAGCTAAAGAAACTGGCTTGGCACATCTCTGCGAATTTATTGAAGATTGTGAACACACATCATTGGCAGTACGAATACTGCATGTATTAGGTCGTGAAGGACCAAAAGCGCGTCAACCTTCCCGGTACATACGGTATATTTATAATCGAGTCATCTTGGAATCTGGTGCAGTTCGTGCCGCAGCAGTTTCAACGGTAGCCCGCTTCGGAGCTACGCGGCCTGAGCTTCTTCCCAATATCCGAGTCCTCTTAGCTCGTTGTACGTTGGACGATGACGACGAAGTTCGCGACCGAGCTATTTACTATAGTGCTATCCTGGATTCGGGCGATCCTCAACTCATTAACGACTATATTATTAACGTACCTATTCCAAATCCAGTTCTTTTGGAAAAGGCTCTGGAAGATTTTGTGAATTCAGGTAAAGCAGAAGAGGAAACATTTAATATTGCTGCCGTTCCTTCAGCTGAAGAACCAAAAGAAACCAAAGAAACGCCAATAGAAATAGAATCTCGCAAACAGCCAGTGGTGTCGCGAGAGGAAAAATATGCAGAAGAATTAAAGGTTGTGCCTGGAATTGAGAAAATTGGACCAATATTTAAAACTTGCCAAAGTATCGATCTAACCGAACCTGAAACTGAGTATCGCGTTCGTTGCGTAAAACATATCTATTCTCGGCATGTGATCCTTCAGTTCGAATGCTTAAATACACTTAGCGATCAACTTCTTACAAGAGTTCACGTCCGTTTGTGCCATCCTCCTGGTTACAGGCTATTAAGTGAAGTACCATGTGACGTATTACCTTACAACAAACAAGAGAGCATTTTCTACCTGTTATCTTTTCCTGAAAATCCACTGGATTCGGAATGCTCATTTGAAGCAAGCTTAGAGTTTGTGGTGCGTGATTGCGACCCAACAACAGGTTTGCCGGATGGTGGTAGTGGATATACAGATACTTATCCACTGGAGGAATTCGAAATAAGATGTGCTGACCAATTTAGATTGCGGGCCGCCGGTGACGATTGGGAATCTTCTTGGAATGCTGCGGCTTCCGCGGACGAAGCGAGTGATACGTTTGGCTTGTCCCAATCAGACGTTGGAGAAGCTGCTGTGGCTGTTTGTGAGCATTTGGGTCTGCCCAAGGCGTCTATTGACGGAGATGCCGTCAAGGACATTCGTGGCGGAGGAATGTGGCGTGGTGGAAATCCTATACTCTTGCGAGCCCGCCTCGTGTCTGCTCAGGGCGCTGTCACCATGCAGCTGACAGTGCGCTCAACCCAGGCCCAGATAGGTACTTTCCTGTTAGCTGCTGTTGGTTAATCACTCTATTATTAAGTTACGATCCCCAAGTTTACCCTACTGTGCCTTTCTTTCATACTTATCTATTTTATATTTAAGAAAATTGAGTTGTCTAATTATATATTTTTGTCTATTTACAAACTCCAATATGATTCATGATTATTTTGTAATTTATAATAATTATAGTATATTGATGTTTAGAATCTTGTATTTTCATTTGTAACAACTTGTTGCCTGCAATTACGTAACATATGATGCATGAAGCTAAAAATAAAAATGGAGGCCAGACTTAGAATACCTACTTGAAGCACAACCTATGTATCACTATCTCGCTCTCTGTGGGCAGGCTCTCTCTTTCTAAGTAGGGTAACCTTTTATTTATTTTTCTCAGGACGACAAAGACTGATTTACGTTTAAACAGTGTGTCTTGATAAAGTGCACTTAATATGATTATGAAAAAAGGTTTTCGATGNCTTCAGATTGTAGCACAGGTCTTGTGACTGATGCAACATCAAGATATTGTATGTTCTTGGTTTTTGTTGTTAAAACCTGTAGTTTCAGTGAGGCAGAAGTAACCGACATTAGTGTGATTTGTTGGTTCTCTCCATAACCTCGGGGTGCCAATTCGTATATGTTTTCTTTTTCCTGCAGCCTAGTGCAATAATATACTCCTCAAATTTTCGCACACTACACCAGGAGCCCATTTTTTATCAGGTTTGTTACCGAGATTAGAAAGTAATAGAAATAGGCCGGTTTTACGGCCTTAGTGACTGGTCTCTTCTTTTTTGACAATATAATTTGGCCACAAACTTAGCAAAAGTTATTTGGGCTTAATTTACACTGCCTTGGTGACATTTTAAAACAAGTGAAAATGTTAAAATAATACTTAAACGCAATTAAAATAAAGTAGAAACTCCATCACGGCTAACAAGACAGCTTACTTACTTAGGTTAATGTGGATATCTCAAAAACTTGACGTGATAAAAATATGAGACTTATATTTTTGTACTACTTAAGGAGGCTGATAGAAAACACATCCAATATGAATTATCTTTGGGTAAAAGAAAAACTTTTTTTTGTAAACTAGTGTTATTTATTATTATTTAAATCTTTTCTGAATTGAGATTTTTGGCTTGAAGGTGCTCATCTTCTAATCCAGTATGAACTTATCGCATTCAATTCATCCTTGACTTCCTTGACTACCTAGGTAGGTATCTTTGTGTATATTTATGTGCTTAGGTAGGTACCTATATTTTTAGTAATTTTTCTAAGTAGGTGATTTAAGATTGCCTAAAAGTATGGCGGGTAAAGGTAACACAGGCTGGAATTTGGGTTTTCGCGATTGAAAAATCCGCCAGATGGCAATACATAGACGCGAGGTCCAAATGCTGCGTGATTGGTGGATTTTGACATATCTGTCAATGTCATGTCAAAAATAACCAATCATGCAGCATTTGGACCTCGCGTCTACGTATTGCCATCTGGCGAATTTTTCCATCGCGAAAACCCTCACTGCCTACGTCACCTAGAGGTCACCTACGTCGACTCGATCACTCTCGATGCCTACCTAAACGTCATAATCATAACCGCGTGAGTCCGCGTGAACAATCGTAAATACATTATGTCCTGCCTGTATTGTCGTAAGTAGCTAAGAAAACATGACGTACCTATAATTGCAGTAACTCGCCGAGTCTCGCTGTGACGTAGGTTGGTACCTACCTACCTAAGTTTACTGGCTTACTGCATAGAGCAAAGTAATACATAGGAATCTATGATCTAATAGACGCAATTAAGACTTACATAATATCACCTACCTAGTTACCTACTTTTAACAACTAATAAGTTTATTTTTTTATTACACACACCATACCAGAGCCATCTACTTGAGTTGTACCTACCTAGGTAGAGTAAGTAGTTAGAGACATAACTATACAAACACTATACGCTGCACATCACTTATTGGCAGACAATGCCGAGGCGCTATAGCGCGATTACTTTTTGAATTTTCTGGTGCCAAATCTTGTTCAAAGTCCCCAATAATATTATAAAATAAAAATTAATTAGGAAGAAATACTTTTAACTCATTATTTTAAGGTAGATACAAGTGGTACGAGGTACCTACTTAAGTAGTTATGTAATTAGTCAATACTACTTGGGTAGGTACAATCTACCTACAGTTATTTAGGCCCCAAGTAGGTAGTGCAGCGGTTAGTATGATCGAAGATCGATATAATAACATAGTAGACCTAAGTAGGCCTATTAAGGTACCAGGTACCTATTATGAGTTAGTAGGTACCTGGTACCTACTAACTCATAACCTGTACTGTGTCTGTACTGTAACTAACAATGCACCTACTTACTTAACACGTCATTGAATAGGTAGGTAAGTATGTGGCATGGTGGGAACTTGATCTACACGTTAAAAAACTCTCCTCTCCTACCTAGGTAGGTATCTAACATACTTTAAGTAAGCCTAGGTACAAGTACCTACCAAGCAAATAAGTACAAGGCAACAAGAATAAAATAGGTACATACACTTTTCCATTTTGAACCTTACGTACATAATTGAGTAGTTGTTATTTACCCTCCCTTTCAGTCGCCACGTGCTCCTGATGTTCTGAACATGAAGCTAAAGATAAAAATGGAGGGCAAAGTTGGAACAAAAACTTGAGTCAAATACCTACTTATATCTATCTCGCTCTCTGCGGCCCTACCTCTCTTTTTAGTATGAACTGTAGTATTGCTATCTTCTGAATTAAATCTCCTTGTAAATTCTTCGAAATAGCCAATTCACTAACCAAATCAGAAGTTAAACAAATAAATAATTAATATTTGAAACTAAGATTACCTAGTTAAATAAAAAATCACAAAATTGTCGCCCATTTAGGCTTAATGTGTTGGCGAATCAGGGAATTACAATCCCAAGGTACTTTCGCTAACCGAGCACTTAGTTGCGGCCTTGATCTGGTCCGTCCATCTCATTGGTGATCTACCACGTGGTCTGGTGCCCTCAACTTTTCCCTGCACTACGAAACGCTCTATGGAGTCATTACTGCGCCGAGATACATGGACCAAGAAGGTTAAAATGCGTGACTGAACCTTGGTTGATAGGCGCTGTCTGATGCCGAGTTCTTTTAATATGCAGTCATTGGTACGAAACTCGGTCCACGATATTCCCAGCATCCGTCTCCAGCACCACATCTCCAATGCGTCAATCTTCTTCCTTTCGGTTTCACGAAGAGTCCATGTTTCCGACGCATAGAGGAAAATGAGGAATATTAGGCAATAAACGAGCCTGGTTTTCGTGTCCTTGGTAATGTTTCTGTTGCCCCAAATCTTCCTCATTTTGTCCATAGCAGACCTAGTGACTGCGTTGCGTCGCTTGATTTCGTCTATGCACCCGCCTTCATTGGATATCGATGCCCCAAAATAAATGTATGATTTAACAACCTCGCAATTCCCTGTGTGTAATCCCTGGTAAGTTGTTACCCATCAAAAACAATACTTGTCAAAAAAAACCAAGTCTCGCAACTCATTTGTTCTGCGGTAAAAAGTTGTGAGATCCGTGTAATACCAAGTCCAGGCCAGGAAATCTTTAACGTTTTACATAAATATTTTGACTCGGCCTTGAGACTTGGTTTTTTTGACAAGTATTGTTTTTGATGGGATCTCATTTCTTTTTGTATTTTGTAAACAGTTCTACTTTTTTCCTTTTCGGTACCTTCTACTTATTGTATAGTAATTATATGTATATCTAACCAGCAACGAATTTTCTTAAAGTCCTCTCTCAGACTTATGAAATATTCTTATTTTTGTAGGTAGCCTTCCGTTATCTCTTTTCCGGTTCTACTTCTTGAGCCGAAAACTGAACCGAAATTGAAAAATGTTACTCGACTTAGCGGAGACACTACCGTGTGCCTTTATATTTAATTTTATATGGTATTACAAACTTATTTAGGTAAGTAGTTAAATATTTATAAAACTGGACCGAAATTTTGCTAGACTTAGCGGTTGCACTACCGTGCCCCCAAATATTTTAGTTTTTCCTTGATTCCTACACCAAACACTACTTATATTCCAAATTTGAAGCTTCTAGGTCTGCTAGAAGTGCCTTAAAATTTTGATGAACGGTGAGTCAGTCAGTCAGTCAGTGAGTGACAAAATTAAGTAACTTTGACCCGTTATAATTCTTAAACTACTGGTTCAAATTGATTGAAATTTTAAATATACCGTGTCTTTACAAGGCCTGCATGGTTACTGAAAATTCAGTCTTCTAGTTTTATCCACAACGAAGATACGGGGGTCGAAAATAGCCTGAATTGCTTCGAGAAAAGGATGGTACGACCGTGCCGCTTTTTTGCTCGACTTGGTGGGGGCACTGCCGTGCCCCCAGATTAGCGCGATCAACAATCATCATTTTGGTGCTTATTATAATCATGCTTCGCTTCTTATAATCATGTTTATTTCCGTAAGTGAGGTTCTGAAAGAAACAATAAATACTCATTCTTAACTCCTTTTACAGTCATCATTTCACTAATTTTAACTCCTACTCATAATAATTATGCTCTGAGAGGCTCATCCAAAAACTTGTTAAAATGCGAATTGATTTCTACTTGTATGATACTAGAGTTAAACAAATTTTAATAATCGATTATTATTATCGACAATAAATTGGCATCCCTAGTATTATATTACTTCAGACAGTTTGTGATAGTGATGTTCATTGGGTATCCGATACGTAAAATTATCGATAAGAAATGAAATGAATAAAAAAAAATCATTGCAAATTATTAATTTACTAACCACAGAATAAAATTGCAATTTTGACATAATTTCCCATAAGATTGAAATTGTCAATGTGCCAAATTTTATTTCTCAGTTATAAGTTATTCGATGATTGAAAAATCAGCCCTAAATCAATAACAAATAGCGCAAACTGGCAATAAATTACCCGGCCCTACTTTATTCTTGATGATTTTTGCACCATTTCACCAACAAACGATTTGAATAAATATAGGTTCAATCAGAATTTAAGAGCTGTAATAAAATTGTCATGGCAATGTATTGTTTGCTGATTTGCTGTCAAAAGCGATATAAAAAAGCCTTTCGCCATCCGCAGTCCGCTACGTTGTATCGTTCGCGTTGGGGTTATATAAATTTATTGTTTGATATTAACACTAATAAAATAAACCCCAGAGGAGAAGAACAATTTGCAGTTTGTTTCGACGTTTTTTTTTAAACATTTAATAAATACAATAATCGATTCGTTGTCTGATAATATTCGATACAAAAATATTCGATTTCGACAAGCGCGATACGTCCCTAAATATTCAGCTACCTACCTACTTGTTGAAGTTTTCTTTCTTGCAGAAGTATAGTATCCTTGTTTTGTGAATTTGTTAGCTTATTTCGGGTAAATCAGGAAATATGCCCACCCTATTTACGTCAATTAAGGAATATTATTACGTGAGCTTGATTACTACTTGAAAAGTGTTGAAATCGCGAACTTGAACCAAAGCAGCAGGATTGTGATTGTGTTTTGTTTGAGAGTGTTAATTTTTCCTATTGAATCGGATTCTGAAACTTTGGCAAAGAAATGTGTTGATTGTTGTCATCAAAGGTAAGTTACTTAATTTTTGTCTACTTTAAAAATATTTCACAGTAAGTTGGAACTATTATCTAGGCACTTTTTCGTTGTTTTTTTATAAGTATTATTACTGAATATTAATTAGTTCTTTAAAATAAGATTTTAACATCACAGTTTATTAGTAAGTACCTACCTACTTGAATTCTTACCAATAGCAGGCCCACTGGTCAGTGTATAGGAAACGGGGCGCTATGGGGCACGAGACTTAGAAAAATTTTTATGAAAAAAATAATAGGGTTCTCTTTCTCTTCAAGTACCTACAAAAAAGTACCTATACTACTTTATTACCTGCAAGCTGCAACTGCAACTATGCCTATCAAATTCTGAGAAAAATAATGACTAAGGACTAAGGTACCCTATTTGTGACTGCACAAATAGGGTACCTAAGTCCATTATAGCATTAATTATTTTTAATTTTAATTATTTTTAAACCAAATAAATTAGCAAATGGGCATAGACCAGGGTATACATACTTGCATACAAAGCCTTGACATTTCTCATGCAAAATATTTCACAATGATATTCACGCGATGGCTTTTAAACATAGAAATAGGACATTAATGCACTTAACATATTCTTAAGGCGCTATTCCCTCAACTTGTAACATGAATTGGAATTATTAAAAATGTTCTAATAAGAAAATTATTATTCTTTAGTCTTGTTGCATATTAGGGCGGATTTAAAGTGCATGTTTAGGGATATTTTACAAAATCGGCTTCCCATGTCTGGTAACAGGTAATAAGTAAAGTCATCTTCAGGTTAGTTAATGTTAATTAAATGCAAATTAATTACCTAGATTTGATTAAATTCTACCTTATTCAATAATGACAAGAAAGCATAATAATTAAATGTCGCTGTTGATATACTTGCTGACACTACTTTCTGAATTGAGATTTTAGCTTCAGCATTATCATTTCCTACAACCCTTAATTTGATTTTGTTCACTGGGATGAACATTCAATTGAAAAAAATAATATGCCGAGTGCATACGTCTTAATTTCTGGTAAGTTTTTTTTTCACTAGAAAATATACTTAAGTTTTGGTAGAAAAATATTTTTATGTGCTAGCCACAGTCTGAAAGTGTTAAATTTTAGGCAAAATGCCGGCATAGCGAAGACCAGGCTTTAGCGTCAAGGTGTATATTCAAGCTTTACAGTTTTTTATTATAATTGAGTAATGATAGTGGTTTTAACGTATTGCATAGAGTTCATGCTTAATAACTTGATTGATTTACAATGCTCATTTAATAAATAAGCCATGTTATACCACGTCAAAGTCGAGTGTTAATCCCAGTGAACATTGCCAAATTACTAATAATTTTTGATTGTTCATCCCAGTGAACATTGTCAAATAGGCTATAAAACGTTTATTTTTGCTTAATAGTATTTCAGTGGACTAATTTCTTTATTTAGAGTTTTTTNGCTTCATGATTTGAGGGGTTTCAGTGAGTATAGCTAGACAGTTTTCGATATCTACATTATGATAATATTGTAAAGAGGAAAGATTTGGTTTTGTTTCTTTGTATTGAATAGGCTCTGAAACTACTGGACAGATTTAAAAACACTTTCTTTAACCATTAGAATCCTACATTATTTCTGATGACTATAGATGGTACGAATTTAAGTTCGCCGGGTCAGCTAGTCTAATATAAATTACAGATATTTTGACATGCGGAAAATTGATCAAACAAGCGCGAACACGCACCCCGAAGTATGGACAAGTTAGGCAACCCAAGGCGAGACGAAACTACGAGCGCAGTCTGATTCGATCGATTTCCCGCTCTATGAGTAGGCTCACACCGTTGATTTCATTTCATTAGGACTATTACTAGGACTGCACTGTCTTTCTGTGTCACCGGCTGTTTCTCATGAAGCGTGATAGCAAACAGTTAAAATTCAGGTGATATAGCAACAATTATTCCACTATTCCCCATTGACAATCCCCGTCAACGGGATTAGTGAACTTTTTGTTCACTATTCCCCGTTACGGCCAATTGGAGCTTATAAAGGGGAATAATGAACTAAAAAGTTCATTAATTCTCGTTATATTAGGATTTTATTATGAACGTAATGGTGATTATTTAACTTTTTAGTTAACTATTCCCCATTATAAGTTCCAATTTAACGTTAACAGTTAATAGTAAACAAAAAGTTCACTAATCCCCTTTGACCGGGATTGTCAACGGGGTATAGTGGAATAAGCCGCAACAAGCAACAAATAACTACTAAAAACAATAAAATAAACATCTAATGCCCGTTTTCACCATCCACCATGTCCAAGGATAAGTAATTACGGGTCATTCCACAAAAATATGTCAACTCTTAGTCCGCGCCACATTTCACATGAAATATTTGTTAATATTTTATTCCAAAATTGTTAAATAACAGCTCGCAATGTGCTTTATTCATCACCCATTTATATTTTTTGAAACTATTTTTAAAACATCTTAAATTCCTTTTGAATGACCCAAAACGTCATTCCCTAGGCATGTCCGTACTCCAAAAGTTTGTGTTTTGGGACCCACATTTATAAAAATATCAACTTTATCCTTTGTTTTAATTAACGAATAATCTATTTAAATGTATATTACACCAAATTCTATTAATATTTTGCGGTTTCAATAAACAATAATTTGATTTTCTTTAGTTGAAAAAGAGTCTACAGTTTTTAGCGTCATTCCCTCGCCACGCACTGATTTTATAATTTTGCGCTTTAATATGTATTTAGAGTGAATGACATTTAGTTGAGTTTAAAGTACGATACGAAGTTATCCTCAGACCATACTGGCTTTGCGGTAGCCGTTTTTTGAATTACTTAATGTGTTGGCGAATCAGGGAATTACAATCCCAATTCCTGCGTAATCGGTACCATGTGGCAACATCGGCCCAATCCGGCCCATCATGGCGGTTGTTTACTATTTTGTTTATTAAGCAGTTAATTTCGTTTGAGATTGTTTACAGGAAATAATCATTGTTTTATCACAAGAATTGGTGCAAAATTTTGTAGTGCGTGGTTGCGGTAGTACGTGGTGTCCTGGAAGTGACATAAGATTCCACGCGTAAGTGTTTATTTCGTGATTTCCGACATTGGATCATTGTAAACATTTTTCACATTTTTTACAGTAATTTCTTCCTAAAACGTTTTACCAGTAATTACACTTATCATTTTTAATGATACCTAAGTCAAGAAATTAAGATTTTACATTGGTTTCATTGAATTTGAGCAATTTTATTTTTTTTGTTTATTTAGAAAGAGCGAGTCTGCCCACAGAGAGCGAGATAGTGATACTTAGTTTGTGCTTCAAGTAGGTATTCGGAGTGTGGCCTCCATTTTTATCTGTAGCTTCATGGTTCTGAAGCATACTTAGTCTATGTCGATAGATTACCAACAAAGATATACCCTTCTCGCTCGTTTGACCGGCTCACGTGTTTTTGAGCGTGAACGCTGTTATGAGTAGGGTTGTCTTGCTTTCCATCAATAAACTTATCGATAGCTAACTAAGTACTATCACAATAATATTAAGTACTATGTACAGAAGGTTTTCTTCACGAAGGTATTTAAAAAAATGTATGCTCACGTGTTTTTGAGCGTGAACGCTGTTATGAGTAGGGTTGTCTTGCTTTCCATCAATAAACTTATCGATAGCTAACTAAGTACTATCACAATAATATTAAGTAGGTACTATGTACAGAAGGTTTTCTTCACGAAGGTATTTAAAAAAATGTATGCTCAATGTCGTTAACAATATGGTGTAATTTAGCTTTTCTCAAGAGTTGAGCACCATTTTGTTGACAAACGTCAGTGATCGGTACTGCGCCGAAGCCATAATAGGGCTTACTTCGGTAAAATGATGTGTGACGTGAGGTGCCAACATACATGAATAAGCATGAATTATATTTGTGTTTCTATTATTATTCATGGTACACTTTTGTCAGAGTAGTAGTGGTCATCATTGTGAATCACGATTCAGAGTGACGTTTCTCGCGGACTGCAGCTTTCCAGGTACTTTCGCTAACCGAGCACTTAGTTGCGGCCTTGATCTGGTCCGTCCATCTCATTGGTGATCTACCACGTGGTCTGGTGCCCTCAACTTTTCCCTGCACTACGAAACGCTCTATGGAGTCATTACTGCGCCGAGATACATGGACCAAGAAGGTTAAAATGCGTGACTGAACCTTGGTTGATAGGCGCTGTCTGATGCCGAGTTCTTTTAATATGCAGTCATTGGTACGAAACTCGGTCCAAGATATTCCCAGCATCCGTCTCCAGCACCACATCTCCAATGCGTCAATCTTCTTCCTTTCGGTTTCACGAAGAGTCCATGTTTCCGACGCATAGAGGAAAATGAGGAATATTAGGCAATAAACGAGCCTGGTTTTCGTGTCCTTGGTAATGTTTCTGTTGCCCCAAATCTTCCTCATTTTGTCCATAGCAGACCTAGTGACTGCGTTGCGTCGCTTGATTTCGTCTATGCACCCGCCTTCATTGGATATCAATGCCCCAATTATTGTTGAAATTCTCTACTATTTCTTTATTCTCCAATTCCGGTCGGTAGACATCTTCCGACCTTATATTTGCTATGCTTGTGCTCAATAGAGAGGAATCTACATTTTCTTTTGGCAAACAGTTGTGTTTAAGGTTTTTTCCTCTTTTTGATTGTGATATATTTTTTGATTTTAACCTCTTAGATTCATTTAGTAATGGAGTATTTGCGCAGATTTCTAACAGATGCTTAATTTTTTTATCTTGTTCATCAATTTTCCTTTGCATTACTAGCTTTTCCAAGGTTAATTCTTCAATTAAATTATTAGCAGATAGCACTTGTGATTTTAAGTTTGTTATTTCTTGTCTAAATTCTTCAATTTCCTTGTTGTGCAAAGTGGATAAGTCTGGCAAACTAATGCGGTTGTAGCTAGAATCAGTTTCCGATAACTCAGGAGAAAAACCTTCAGCATCCGGTAATGATGTATGCT